CACACTCTTTACCGTTGAACTGCAGCAAACGTAAATCAGGGTTTCCGCAAATTGATGCTTGCTCCGATTCGGTGATAACAAGCAGGTTTTCCCCAGGAAAAGGCAAACAGAAAACTGCTCAAAGCCTGGGACAAGCAAAGTGTGGATGACCCTTAAAAGAGTTGATGAAGCAAAGCTTTTTTGTTGTTGTTGCCACTTTTCTGCAATAAAAACATCTGTCGTGAATGCAGAATGCCCCGGGTTCAATCCCTTGCATCTCCAGGTAGGGCTTTCCTTGCATATTCCAGACTGTTAAAATGAAGGAAGCATGGGTGGAAACAGCATTGTGTTTCTGTGTGAAAGAGGTGCAATCACGTTTCTGCTACTGAAAACAAATCCCTTGGCCAAGATACATGTAGAATTAAGGAAATTGAATTAACTACTATTATACACTTGGCTCCTGCTGGAAGACCTCAAAGCTTGAAGTCTTCCCTCCCCTGCATTTAAACACAAACACACTTAATTTCCTGCTCAGCTGCCCCACATTTTCCCACAGCAAAGAGGAAGCATGTTTGATAAAAACACTCAGCTCTGGTATTTGAAAAACAAATACCTCTATGGACGCCAGGATAGGAGTCTCAATATCCTATTTTCCACTCCACCTGGTGTCCCCCGTCCTGCGTACAAGTGCGCCCACACCAAACATATTGCTTCATGTTTCAAGATCAGGAGTGTGCCTTAGCCGAAGGCAGTAGCGTGCCCGGAGCAGCGCGTGCGGCGTGGAGCCTCTCTGCAACCTTACCCTCAGCTGTAGGGCAGCTGAGGCGGCGGGCAGACGCAAGCCCCGTGCTGCTCGAAAATGCAGCGCAGAGCTTGCAGGCAGTCCGCCCGCCGCCTCCGCCTCAGGAGAGATGCGTTGCTCAGGCACGCTGCAGGTCCCACAGTGTGACGCCCAGTGCCCCCCGCCTCACCTAGCTACCAGTGGCATAGGAGGGGGGTGCGGTGGGTGAGGAAGTTGTTGTTGTTTCTTAAAAAAAGTGTCATGAGCCCAATTTTTAAAATTTATTTTAAAATCACATATTTTTGCCATTTTGTCACCCGCCTCAGTGATTACACCCAGGGCGACCCGCACCCACCGCACCCCCCTTCCTATGCCATGGGCTAAAGGACCCCTAGCTGGCCTCCAAAGCTGTTTGGGATATTTGAATTGGCACAGAATCATTAAAACACAAAACAGCAAGGGGTGCCAGCTTGAATAAAATATTGGCAGGCTCAGGTAAGTCCCACACCACATAGTCAATTGCATGATACGGCACATTCACACTATTTGAATGGCAAAGCTCATCAACTTTGGGGGCGCCAGGACCCCTCAAATATTTTAGGTGGGAGTCGAAGGGACCTTGGCTCCTAGGATTTGGTTCCTATGAAACAGCAGCAACACACCATTCCACAGGATCCTGTGGAAGAACGCATGACATTTTCGAAAACTTTTATCAACACATGGTCATGGACTCTTTAGCACTCACCATAGAAAAAGAGCACACAATGCGAAGTGCTCCACTCAGCTGATATGCCTGGTTAGGTCTCACACACGCACACCCTTCCACTTCTGAAGGAGGAAGCCATTCCTCAAACAACTACCTGTAATGTTTCCCTTGAGAGAAATGAGACAGTTCTTGCCCTACATAGCTAACAAAAACATACTGATCTTAACCAGCCTATGAGTGAGCCACCGTTTTGCTGTGCATTCATAATGATTTATGCTCACGATTATATCAGGGCTGTCATATGCGGTTCTGTTTTCAGAGATGGCATACTGCTTCATTTCCACTAAGTGCAACTTCCTGCGGAGAGCCTGTAAGCTTTTTGGGGGGGTGGGGAGAGTGCCTGCTTTTCTTGCACAATAGCTCAAGAGAGCCCTTCCAGATGCCAATAATCATGTAACAACCTTGGGGAAGTACTGCGGGAAAACTAATAAAGCAGAATGGTGTATAGGCAGTCCTGTATGCCATAATTCTAAAAAGAAAAAAAAACAATTTTTTAGGGTGACAGCCCTACACTTTGCAACTCCCTGCCCATTCACACCAGGCACACACCTTTTGTTGTTGTTTTTTCGGCACCTGCTTAGAACACACATCTAGACGTGTGTAGGTGTTCACATTTTAAAATCTCATTTTGCTTACAGTTAATTTTAATTCTCTTTTAAATATTTAAATTGCATGCTTTTAACTTACTGTTTTTTTTAAAAAAAGAAAAGAAAGAAAAAAGAAAACCACTTAGAGATTTTCTTACAGCCAAGTGAAATACAAATCTTGTTATGTAAATGAAAATGAATAAATACGATTGTCTTGTTGCTATGCTACAGAATATACCTGTCAAAAAAGCAAGATGAAACCCAGGCTTCCCTTGTAATGTCAGCTGATCAGCCCTGGATCTTGCAATGTAAGAGGCAACACCTTTGAATGTGCATAAAATTCTCTCCCTTGCGCCCAAGAACATGAGTCTGCCTTGAGGCTATGTCATCTCATTTAAGGTTTCCTCCTGCAAGCTGCAACTACTCTGCTATGCCAAGACCAGGGTTCAAATCCAAGCTCAGCTTAGTCTACCCCACAAGATTGTTGTGATGATAATATGGAGAAGGGGAGAGCCATGTGTGCCACGTTAAGCTCCTTGGAGGAAAAGGAGCATATAAATGCAACTAACAAGTAAATGAATTGATAAAAGGGAAAAACACTTTGCACATGCTCAAGAAGACTCTCCATATGAACACCTTCACATATACAATTCCAACAAGTTTGAGGGGGAGTTAAATCCCTGAAGCCAACATAGAAACACACCGGGATTTAATAGCAAAGACTGCTGTTTCTAAACAATGCACCTGATAAAGGAAGCACACAGTTCATAAACCAGAGCGAGCCCAGGAAAACATTAGGGCGAAAGAACAATGGATACACACCTCGCGAGAGAACTTTGGGCAGACCCCTCACCGAGGACTCCCGTGCCTTACTTCCAGGTAAGTCCAAGCAGTATTGACTTGGAACCCTTGCCCCAAAGCACATGCAGAGTGCCTTTCTAAACCCAACCAGCCTTTGCACACCAAGGGAGGACCTGCAGGCCAGACCATCCAAGCAGGACTTTGGGTTGGGGAACGGCACCTGTCCCCTAGGTGGTTAACTAATGCCACGCTAGCCTTTTAAAAGCAGGCAAAACAGGCTTGCGAACTAGGGCGCGGATGAAATCGAGGACAGAAACTGGTGGTGAGGCAAAAGCCCTACTTTGGAAAGGGGCCCAGGGCAGGAAGGTGGAGTGCTGAGTCCTCCCACGATAGCGGGGCGAGGGGGTGGGGGCGGAAGAGGAATTGGCATGGGGAAAAAAGAGGGGTACCTGTACGCAGCGCGCCCCGCAGATTCCCCGGCTCTCGTCGCGGTTAACCACCAACCACAGCTGCTTCAGGAACAGCTTGAATTTTTCCCTGACCTGGGAGGAGCCGTTTCCTTTAAAGGCACCACGCCCTTTTGCCAACCTTTTAAAACCGAGATCAGGATTTAATCCCCGACACAGTATGGCTTAATCGGTTGCTATTTATCTACTGCAAACTTTCGAATGGACTAAAAGGGGTGTTTGCGGTGCGCGCGGGGGGGGGGGGCGCGTTTAAATAAGTCAGCAATACTGTACTAAAAACATTTTCAAGAGCATCCTAAAAACAGTAAGTTCTGAAGCTCATCGACATAAAGCTGAACATTATGTCTCATCTGCGCTATGCATACATAGCTGTCAACTTCTCCCTTTTTTTAAGGGAAATTCCCTTATTCCGAATAGGATTCCTCGCAAGAAAAGGAAAAAGTTGACAGCTATGTATGCATACAAAGCATGCCATAGCTTCTCCTATGGAATCCTGGGAACTGCAGTTTGTTATGGGTGCTGAGAGCTGTTCGGGGGCTAATATTTTCCTCCGAGATCTAGCATTCTCAAGACACTTTGGGAACTGCAGCCCTACGAGGGGAACAAGGTGTCCTAATCACTCCCAGCATCCTTAACAAATGGAAATTAGAAGGCCCCCCCCCAACCTTCTCTCAAGATGCAGGAAGTGCGGGAGCCTGGCAATTCTCCCGCAGAAGGGCGATTGTCCTTATGTCGTGCTTGCAGGCTTCCCATAGGCATCTGGTTGGCTACTTTGAGAAACAGGATGCTGGACTTTAGGCTCCTCCAGGCGACCTGTTTATTGAGCACTCGTCTTGATTTGCTTGCACAAAGGTGACACAGAGATTAGACTATGTCCGGCTTTTGTTTAAGCATTCATTCCAGTTTTGTCTGCAGGACAGTTGCAGAACAATGAGCATTTGTTCTGATTTGCAGGGTGCCTTACACATCGCGCTGTTAATCATTCATTCATACCACACTTTTCAGAGCATTTCCATCACTTTACTAACAGCAAAAAAAGGCAATAGACCACTACAATCCACTTTAAGCGCTAAAATTTAAGTCCCATCCGCACTATATAAAGCTGTCCTATTCCCGCGACGGGGTGAGCTCCCGTTGCTCAGTCCCTGCTCCTGCCAACCTAGAAGTTCGAAAGCACGTCAAAGTGCAAGTAGATAAATAGGTACCACTCTGACGGGAAGGTAAACGGCATTTCCGTGTACTGCTCTGGTTTGCCAGAAGCGGCTTAGTCATGCTGGCCACATGACCCGGAAGCTGTACGCTGGCTCCCTCGGCCAATAAAGCGAGATGAGCGCCGCAACCCCAGAGTCGGCCACGACTGGACCTAATGGTCAGGGGTCTCTTTACCTTTACTTATGCCACTTTTAACAGCCATGGTCAAAGACTCATAGGGACTGAGAATTCCTAGTACTGCCCCTATTCTCCACACAGAGCTACATTTCCCTAAGAAGGGTTGGTTGTTAAACCACTACGAAAAGGATAGCTCTTTGAGTGGGGATTAGGGTCTCCTAAAACAGGGCATAAATTTTAGGTATGTGCTTGAATCCTTCTCACAAAATAATGAGTCTTGAGGACTTTGGTCTGATCTAGCAGGGCTTTTCTTTAGGTTCCTTTCAGCAATTTTTACAGTTGTAGTGCCACTATTGAGAAGGCATTTGCCCGATTAATTGTGCAGCTTTTTTTTTTAACATTGTCAAACATTACTTATAAATACAAATACTTAATAAGGCAGAGATGGCAAGCCTGCGACCTTCATAAAATGAATACAGAATACATCACAAATCACAATAACAGGTTGATAAATCAGCATAGCAGGATCACCCTTCAGGCAAAGCCTGGGTGAACAGATCAGCTGTAAGCCGGTCTCAGCTTTCAGCATCCTACCTAGCACCCTAAATTTGGCTTCCAGGACCTCGAGACTACATTTCCTTGTCATTGGTGCTTACATGCACCATGACCACTGATACCTCTCCAGCACTACCTATCAGGTATCTAAATGATGAGTGACGTCCACAACCTTTGCATTTACTGCTGTTCATTGAAAGCGCATTCCAAATGACCGGTGCCACCACAATAAAGGCCCCGCTTTTACTGGACGTAAGAACTGCTTTGAGAGCATGCAGTACTACTAAGAGTGCCTTGAGCCTATTATAAAAACTGATGGCAACAATTGCATTATTAGAAAAAGGGGCATTCCTGGCTTCTCGGGCAAAGGAATATCTGTATCATATATACTATCACTAAAATAATATATATGTTACTTTGAGTAACAAAACAGCAGCTGACAAGGTGAGAAGCTAAAATGTTCTAGCTCATAAATAGGGTTGTAGTTCAGTGGTACAGTATCTGCTGTGAATGCAGAAGGGCCCAGGTTCAATTCCTGGAAACTCTGGGTAGGACCAGGAATGTCCTCTGCCTGAAACCCTGGACAGCTGCTGCCAGAGCAGGTTACAATAATTTAAAATGCATTTAAAACAGCTAAGAGAAATGAGTTACCTGAATAGGGCAGGTCCTGAAAACACGTCTCAAGTGTCAAAGCCAGGGTAAAGAGGTGACTCTCCAGCATATGGCATAAACTATTACTATGAAGGTACCAGATGCATCTCTGTGGAGAAGGAATGGCACAGAAGAAAGCAATCCACAGGCTGCCACAGATAATGCCCTCTCCTGGGCCACCTGACCACAAACACACCTGATCGAGTTACTAAGAGAGCCCCCTCTACTGATCTTAACACCAGAGTGTGGAGCGTAGGAGGTGGTCTTTCATTAGTCAGCACTGAGCTAGATGGACCTATGGGTCTGACCACACAGTAGGAGGCAGCTAGCTTCCTAGGCTCCTATCTGCACCTTACTGAAGACAGGAGGAGACCTGCTGAATCAGACCAAAACTCCTATCTCTCACAGCTTGCTGCTTGGCACAAAGAGTGGCACAGGTGCTATTGTCAAATTTAGCGCTGCTGCAGAAAGCTAGTGCAGAGGAGAGGTGGGCTGGTCCTGGTCCAAAGTACGCAGATGACCTATCTGGCTACATGTCATCACTAGCTGCAGGATTTGAACTCCTCCCCAAGAATACACACAAAAACCCTAACAAGCGATAACGTGGGTGGGGTCAGACCAGACTGGTTTGTACAGGCCCCAGATCCGAGAGTGGCTTTTACTTCTTGCCTGCAAGGATTTCCAAGTCTTTTCCTGTATCCAGTGATTAAATGCTTCCCTTTAGCCTAGCCTCTAGGTTTTCTGGTCTTCCTCTTGGCAACCACCTTTGCTGCTGCTGCTTCTTGGCACTGATTTAGAGGCTCCCTTACGCAGGAGGTGGCTTCCAGAACAAATGGAAAGCTGGCCAATGATGACTCATGCTCCGTTTGCTCTCTGGGTTCTGAGCTATGATAACAAAAATGACAGACCTTAGTGTTGGCAGGTAGGCACCCCACCCAGACAATGAGTTCACAGCTCCCATTGCTACCCTGCGGGCAGGCAGGAGATTAGATTGAGGCAAATAAGCAAAGGCTGTACATCCCAGATTGAGACGATGCCTCACGGAGCACAAACAGGAATCCTGGCCTATATTTACTCTGAACATTCAGGGCTTACCTGCAGTTACCTTTTGCTCCCCAATTTCCAGGCACAGAAACGTCCCAGAAATGTTACTCTAGTTTAAACCCATACAAATGAAACACACTTCTAAAGCTGCGCCAAGACATTTGCATGTGATTGATCTATTCCAGGAACATGGGTGTAGCCAAGGGGGTGGCAGGGAGGAGCAGCTGCCCCCCATCAATAAAAAGAAATAGAAATACATAGGTAATTGAGGTTCTGCTCCTCCCAACAAGAGGACTGCCCCCTCCCAACAAAAATCCTGGCTATGCCCATGTCCAGGGGTAGGAAGGTTTTACAGCCCGAAGGCCACTTTGCCTCTTGGGAAACCTTCCAGGTGTGGGCTGAAATAGAGGCAAAAGGGGGCAAAGCAATGGATGCAACCCTTACCCTTACAGTAATGCAGCCTTGGGTCCCCAGATGTTGTTGGCCCAATGGTCAAGGATGCTGCAACTTGCAGTCTAACAACATCTGGGGGCCCAAGCTTGCTAGAGGCAGCAGTAGGTTACGTTCAAGCAGCCCAAGGCTTCTTCACACACCTCTCTCCACCCAGGCAAGCAAGACACATTATTGCCTTTCAAGGGCACATTCCAGCCAGGCAAAACCACTCAAGGAGGGCATGTAGCAGAGCCAATAATTTTTATTATTATTATTATTATTATTATTATTATTATTATTATTAATTTGTGCCCCACCATTTTCCCAGACCAGGACTTACACAAATTGAAACTATACAGATAAACTACAAAAAGTTAAAAGATGCTTATTAAAAAGTAATGAAACCCCGATAAAATTAAAACAATATAAAGAAGAGGTGTTGCCTGGGTAAATCACTGAGGGCTGAATAGGCCCCTAAGGCAAATACCTCACCCTGATCTACTCAGAGACATCTTTGTACTAGAAACTGGCTGGCACCCAAATAAAAAAAATATGCTGCCCTGCCAAGGCAATGAAAACAGTAAAAGTTTGGTATTCTTAGCACAAGCAAGGTGGGCACTAGATGGAATCAAATATTCCATCCCCACTGCACTTCCCATGCCTTTGCTTCCTCTGTGAAAGCACTTTCCTGCTGCCATCTGCAGGACAGAGGGGTCCTTTAGGTTTCTTCCAGGATATTCCAAAGGTGAGAAGGGGCGAAATGGGAAGAAAAGAGGAAGCAGGTAGGAGATGGCATCAAGGATTAATGGGCCAGCAAATGGTCATCTGTAGACCTCACCTTACTCAGAGACTTTCAGTTGCCAACTCCTGTAAATACAGGGTATGGCAGGGGTTGCTAGCCTGGATCCCATGGGCACACATATGCCTGGAAAGGACTTCCCTGGTGCCTGGGACGTCCTCGCCCTTTGCTAAAATTAGCCTTGAAGTAAGGACTCTGCTATAGCAAACTGAACAGGCTGTGGTGTGTGCTTCATTGCGAGGGGTGTGGAGATGAGCATGTGGTGCCCACAACAGCTTCTCTGGTTTGCAAGCATGCCCAGGGGTCAAAAAAGCTGGCGACCTCTGATGTATAGATTGTCAGTGACCTCATGTTAAGAGGAGTGAAAATGCAACAGCATCCTAAAGATTGGATTGTAGCCAATGCTAGTCCTACTCTAAGTAGACCCACTAAAATTCATGGGCAGGTGCAGGGCTTTTTTATTTAGCTGGAACTCAGTTCCAGCACCTCTCAGGTGGGCACCATTGCAATTCTAAGAGAACAATGGAGGCGTTCATGGTGTGTTCTGGCACCTCTTTTTCTAGAAAAACTGTACCGGGCTGGTCCATTGAAAACAGAGTACAATTTAGTTGGAGAAAACGCAGAGCTCACAGCAAGGTTTTAGGAGATACGTTGGCCCCTTTTCCTGCCAGAACGCTCCCAAGATGAACAACAGCAATCATATCACTAGAGATAAAAGAGGATGGCAGTGAAGAATTGCATGCAGATCCAAAAGAACAACATGCATTTCTGCTGCCCAAACCCAAAGCTGTTTCCTCTAAACCATGCTAGTGCCTTGAAGAAAAGTCCATGTTGTAGAGCTAGATTCCACAATGCAGTGACTGTGGGAACCACAACACTTTTGAAGGCCCTCACCAGGCTCCCAGTTCCTCCTTATCTTTTATTTTTAGGCAAGTTATTTTCGTTTTGTTGTTTGCTTTTGCGGTTTGGGAAGCGGTTTCCTCCTCCTTTTTTGTCTGTGTTTTACTTGGGGCTTGAGCAGGGAAGGTTGCAGTTGTTTCACCTGTCTAGGGCAGAAGTTCTGAGCCTCACCAGTCTTCACTTCTGCAAAATGGGTATTTTGTGCTGCCTATAACAGCTCTTCAGATTTCCAAATGTGTCCCCAGGCCCATAAAGATGGGGGACCTTTCTCCTAGTGCTGCTTCTGTAGGAAAGCCAACTACCTGTGTGCTACATAAGGGGCCGGCAGTCTAGATCCAAGACCAGGTGGTGCACGTGAGGGGCGTAAGATTTCACATGCTCAATGTGCAAGATTTTAGTCCTCCACTGCTTCCCGTCCAAATCCTGAAGCAAAGTCCTGATCTGGATTGCTGTGGCCTCTGCCCACGTTTGCCACTCGCCCCTGGCTGAGAGAGCCAGGTCCTTCCTTCCCGCATCCTGTAGAATACTGTGGTCTGCAAGGGCCACCTTGTCCTCTTGTACGCTGGACACTGCTTGCACTGGAAGCTGCTCGCGAGGTTGATCCTGATGTGGCTTGTGGTGCAGCCTAAGGGCATTCACTGGAAAGGATTCCACATTCTGGTGGATATGCAGGATCCCACCCACATCTTTCCGCAAAACCCGGCAGGCGATTGGCCATCCTGCCTCCGACGTGGGGATCAGTCCCAGATTCACCCTGTCAGCCACATCCCACAGTTCCAGCTGCAAACAAGGAAATAACATAGACAGTTGTGTTTTGCAAGTTTGAGATTTGTCCGCATCACCTACCCTGACTGGCAGCAGGTGTCACGCAGCTCAGGCAGGAGACTGGCCTTTTGTGCACTTTTCCTGAGATTGTTTTAACTGGAAATGCCAGGGATTGAACTGAGGACCTTTGGCGTACAAACCACATAATCTATCACTGAATGGAAGAGGAAGAATGAGAGCAGGCATAACAGAAGGAAAATGTGAGGGGAGACTTTGTTTCTTTTTAAAAAACAAAAAAAGTTTTTGAGATGCAGAGAAGAATGCAGAGAAGGCAGCAAAGGGAAGTCTGGGCTGCTCTAACAGATAATATAGCAATTCTCACCAATCAGGCTCCAGGAGGGAAGCAGAATCAGCCAATCAGATGCGTAAATATTATTGTGTAAATAATGTATATAAAAGCCTGAGGTTTTGGGGAAAATTCAATCAATGTTTTACAAGCTGCAATAAAGAGCATGAAATCACTACAGAACTCTGATTTCAGTTTCTTTGACCTTACCGCCGTAGGTGACCCTGCTGGGAGTACAAGATTCCCAACGGCTTCTCTCACAAGGGTCTTAGGAATGTGCAAGCCCACTCTCCACGACAGGTGAGAGAACTGAGATAGCTTGCACTGAGCCCTGGTCTCATTAGACAAAGCGTTCCACCAAAAAGGCTCTCGCTCTGGTTGAGGACAGCTGGATATGTTTTGGGCCGGGGACCACCAGTAGGTTGCTTCAGAGGGCGACAGGTGAGAAAGTGAACTGCTGGACAATCAGAGACGAATAAAACTCTACTTCATGAATACAAACAGGTGGCAGAGATCAACCCCCATGTCAGGGCCAATGAAGTCAGAAGACCCTGAAGCCTTTATGCACTTAATAAATTAGGCACCATTCAAATTACAATACTTTCCCATGGTGGCTTGTAACATTTAAAACCACATTAAGTGGTTTTACACAACATAATCACCATCCTAGCAGCAGCAATTAACAAATTACAAATCAACACATCACAGCCAGCTACACCAATGTTAGAATAAAAAAGAGGCTACTGTCTATTAGACACCCACATCTGGAGCAATGCAGAACACACAAACAAGGCTTTTTAAGGTTCCCTAAAAACTACCAAGGACAGCATATTTCAAGGGGAGAGGGACACAGCTGAAAAGGCCCTGTTCCTTGGACCCAGCTGCCAGACCTCCTTCCTGCTTGCTTTGCCCTGACAATTATTATTTTATATCCTGCTTATTTACTGTTTACTGATGTACACAAAAAAGCTTACATAACTGCATAACATAACATAACATAACATAACATAACATACAAAAGCAAAACCTTGTAATTAAGTAAAACCTTTTTTAAAAAGTAGAACCATTTAAAAAAGAAAAAGTAGATGGCACTCAGCCATAAAAGCAGCGGCTGGAACCAGAGTAAAAGCAAAGTTCTGAAAAAAAGTGTGCCTAAATAGAGTTTTCAGGAGAGGTTGTGATGGGAGGGAGGAGAGTGTGTCTTATCACTGTATATGCAGGATCTATCAATGCTGCCATTTGTTGCCATCTGTCTGTCTCGAGAGACAATGGAGTGTGCCTCTCGAGGTGAAGTCAAACGACTGCATTAGCAGTGCCAAAATGACCTCCCCAGGGCACAAGCCTGGGCAGTGTGTAGGAAGGTCCTGGGCTGCTCCAATAAGACCCTCCTTCTTGGCCTCAGTGGTGCAGTCCAAAAGAAAGCAGAGCAGTATGTTTGGCTGCAGGACTTGCCGGAAGGAGGCATACAAAGCACCATCCAACCATTTTAAGTAGCCATTGATAGCACGATCTTCCACAAACTTGTTTTAAAGGTATCCAAATTGGGAGTCATTCCTGCCTCCCATGAGAGCAAGCTCTCTAGTTTTAACTATGCACTGTGTGAAGAAAGACTTTCTTTTGTCTGCCGTTAATCTTCTAACATTCAGTTTCGGTGACCCTTCCATATTGTTGGATTACAGCTCCCATCAGCACGGGCAAATGTCAGAGGTGACGAGAAATGATAATTTATTCATTCTATTTAGGTCATTTCTACCCCTCTTTGCTCACCTTCTGATTATCTTCCTGATGAACGAGGCACCGATCCTGCACACGGTTCAGTTGCAAATTCTTCTGCAGTGCTTCCACGGCATGCGGGTTCCACTCGCAGGCATGGACAAAGGCAGCACCAGCATGGATGAGGTACGGCAGGGTGAAGTAGCCAATCCCTGAAGACAAGGGGGAGAACAGCCACTCATTATCTTACAGAATACTTTTAAAAGTGGGTTAGACAAATGATAGGGTGATATGGCTACTAGCTCCCCAACCAGAGGCAGTGTGCCTCTGAATACAAGCCGCTGTGGTGCACAGGTAAGTGCTACTGCACTCTTCTCCTGTTGGTGGGCTTCCCAGAGGAACCTGCGTGGCTGCAATGTAGAAAACTGGACTAATGAGCTCTGGATGTGATCCAGCAGGGCTCTCTTTAGAAGCCTTAGTTGGCAAAGCAATGGGTCAAATGCTTCCTGCTAGGGCTGGAGAACCATGCTGCCAGTCACAGCACAGGATGCGTGGGAAATGTAGTTCAACTTTAGGAGGGCTAGAGCCCTGGGAGAGGGAACCAAGAAAGACCACAGAGAAATCAAGCGAACTGAGTTCATGCTACTTCTATACATGGCTCAAGGCGCCCACCTGGCTTCAAGACCCATCTCTGGATGGCTAAACTATTTAGAAATAGGCTGTGCCCCAAATGGGGCTGCAGAAAGAGACAGCAGCCGCTTTGCTGCTCCCTCGTATCGCAGTATTTACCAGCGTAGAGGTCTACCACCACTTCCCCAGCACACTTCAGAGATGCTATTCGCAGCTTCTCGGTGATGTTTCCTGGAGACAGCATGCACTGTGTCACGTCAAACATGTACCTGCGGAGGCAACTGAATCAGAAGATGTCCCCAAGGAATCAAACTTGTACTTGTTAAGTACTTGTAGTTCTTAACCAACCCCTATTTAGGGTGGGAGGAAATTCAGAGCATACAAGGATTCTTTTCTAAATACTGTGCACATATACAAACAAACAAGCTTATAGCGCAATGCCTACACGTCTACTCAAAAGTAAGCACTGGGTGCAATGGGACTCATTCACAGATAAGTATATATAGGACTGCAGCCTTATCTACCTTTTGCCCTGAGAAGTGAAACATTCACCATACCCTTACCCCACTCCAATTTTCACCCAATACCGCAGACCAGCTGAGTTTTCCAGAGCCAACTCAAAAATCTTACTACATGAAAATGACTGCAGACTTCAAATTTACCCTTTGCTTTTTTTAGAATTCATTGGAAGAAATAGCTACCATATTTTTGACGGGCACATTTACTTCAGCATAAGATCAGGCCAAAACAGAGGGAGGGATGAGACTTCTGGGCCTCTCAGCTGAAAGATCAGCAACTTCTGGCTCCTCTCCTTGAATTCTTTCCATTCCATCTGGCCATTACTGTATAAGAATTCTGTGACTAAAAATAAGTTTGCTTTTTCCTCTTCCCTCCCACTCCCTTTTCTTTTTGTGTTGGATCTCTGAGATGGCAAGCCTGAGGGCTGGGTCTCATTGCTGACACTTGTAAGCTGACCTGGCTAAAGACTGGGGTGAATGAACACTCCTTAAACACCTTAAACTTTCTAGGCTTTAGAAGAGAAAAAGTCTTAATTAGACTCCATTTTTCAGTGAACTCAAAGAAAGAAGACAGTGTGGTAGAGAAAATATTATACTGCATCTCTCCCTTACCGAATTCCATTCTCTACATGTTCAACCCAGCCATCCTCCCCCAGCAACAGGGTCACTGTTGGGGATCGAAACAAATCTGACTGCACACGTCCGCGTTTTGCCACACGTTGGGCCCCGAGTGCACCAGCAACCACCTCCCAGAGCTCTTGTCCTGAAAGAGAACAGTTGTGATGGATTTGCTGAGAAAGGAAGCAGCTCAGAATGGTCTGGAACAATGCTTGTTTGTAATTTACCCAGCTCTCCCCATAGGGGTTCTCTGAAGCTCTCTTCACTGAACAGAACCAGATCCCCGTGCCGTTGCCAGGAGCGTGGTAGATCTCTCTCCAACTCTTTTGACCAGGCAACTCCATGGCTCAACATCAGGCTCTGCAACTCATCATACAGTTTCTGGATGGGAGGCCGGAATTGGGCCGCTTTTGAAGGAACGGGATTCTGCAAATGGGGTGCAAATGATTAGCCAGTTTCCTATTTCATACACATGCCACACACCACTTTAAATCCCTATACAAATCCGTTGGCAGCAAGCACCACCTTTATGGTAAAAAGTCTAAAAAAATGTTTTGCAGATCAACACCTGGAAAATATTCATGAAATGATTCCCAAAGTATAATAACAGCATGTGGCCCCACCACTACCACACAGTCATACTGTGGCATCAGAGATCAACTGATGGCATCAAATAAATGAAGCAGGTAGGAAGCAGAGAAGAGGACAAGACAAAGGCAAGAAAAGAGGGAGGCAGGCAGGCTTGATAACAGTCATTGCCAAGTGTAGTGACAAACCTGTAGGTCATGAAATAAAAGCAACCTGCCAACAATAACTTGGCTCACCAGAATCCATGTTAAAGCACAGGTCTTCCCAGGCAGGATACTTTCCTTCAGCTGATGCAGGTGCTCTGCTGTGAGCTTTTGGCCCAACACAGGCAAGGCCATGGCACCATCAGGAAGCTTCTGCACACGGTAACTGCTGTCCAGGAAACCCTCTCTTTGCAAAAGTTTCCTGCAAAACCAACAACCTGATGAGCTCCCAGAGAAGACTATCGACTAAACCTACAGAAACTCTTTGCTATTGCTGCAGGGAAGAAGATCCAAGAGGGAGGGCAGGGAAAGCTCTTTGTCAGCTCTGTCAGAAGTAGTATTGTGCCATAATTACCAAGGAGGGGGCAGCTAGGCTTCATGGCCCAGAAGATGAAAAACCTTCTGGCGTCTGAGATGCACTAGAAATGGCTGGCCTGAGTATCCAAACAGCCTCTACAAGGCTTGTGTGCTTCACAACTGTGAATTGGGGAAACAGGTATGTGCTGGAGAGGATGGAGAGAAAAGATGCTAGACTGCAGGGATGGGGGACATTTTCCAGACTGAGGATCACATTCCCTTATGAGCAACCTTCCAGGAGCCATATGACAATGGTGCATGGAGCCAGAAGCAACAAATGTGCCTTGTTCTGTAGGCCTCACAACACTCAGATGTTGCACACACATATCTCTCATCAAGAGGCATTGTTAAATTTCAAACATGTGTCCCAGCCAAATGAAAGCTAGGAAGGGTATGACCAGGGTGAATCTCAAGGGCTGGATAAGAAGGACTGTGTTTAGTCCCTGGGCCTGAGGTTCCTCATTCTCATGCTAAAATTGTCTCTCTTGACTGGGATTTGGGAAGAGGTCAAATGCACCGGTGAAATGAACATATAACTAGGCAAATGCATAGTTCTCTGTATTTATTTGTGGGCAAGTCTTTCTTCCTTTCTCTGCCGATCCCCCTTAGCAATGGCTAGGATCTCCAGCACTGGGTTGATACCTTCACTTTTGGCATTGCCTTTTTCAGACATAAGAGTAAAAGGTAACTCTCGCTAAGAAAGCAAAGTGGTACCCTCAGAGAAATCAAGGCGTTGTGAGCTGAATAAGTCTGACTCTTTGCCACTGGTAATCCTAAACCACTGAGAAATAGGTCTGTTCATTTCTACAAAAGCCTCACTTCCATCAACATAGCACCTCCAGTTTACTGATGACATGCATGATGAATGTACCTTTCTTGAGCATTTATTTCATTTCCCCCACCCCACCTCCTAACACCTGTCGCCATACCTGAATAGCTGAGCAAACTGTGGCTCAATAACAACAGCTGCAGTACCACAAGAACATGAATCTTCCGTGTTCATCTTATCGGGAATGGGGAGGGGTTCTGCCTAAAACAGAGTATTTATAAACAGCGAACATCATGATGGTGTACAATAAAACAATTAAAACAGAACAATGCTGCACACTACAAAAGAAATGACTAACACTGAATATGCATATACCATCACCCCCCCGATGGATCTAGCTAGCATTCGCCGCAAAATAAAGTTTGCCCACATAACTCATCAGAAGACTCCTGGGGGGCTTAAATGCAACTCCTCTTTGCACGGACTGCACACAACAACACAACAAGCGCAACACAGGCAGTCAGCCCAGGGAGATACCTAATTATTCATTTTTTGCTTCCTTTGTTTCCGCAGAAGGGGATAGAAGGCTTCAGATTCCCAGCAGCAAACGCCACTTTTTGAAAGGTGGGCAACCCTAGGAACTACGATCCTATCTATGTATTCGGACTTGCGGAAAGATTCGGACCGGACTCGGATTTCTAAGGAAACACGCGCAGGAGCGAACTGTGCACTTCCGTCTATCCCTCCATACTCGTTGGTTGGTTACTATGGCCACCACAGACGTGAGTCCTTCTATCCCTGCGTACTCGTTGGCTGGTTGCTATGGCCACCGCAGACGCGAGCCTGTCTATCCCTTCAGACTCTTTGGCCGGTTGCTATGACCACCGCAGATAGGAGCCCGTCTATCCCTGCAGACTCGTTGGCCGGTTGCTATGGCAGCCGCAGACAGGAGCCCGTCTATCCCTCTGGATTCGTTGGCCAGTTGCTAAAGCTGCAGTATGGCAAAATGCCCGAAATTATTTTAACGCTGTACGTAGCGATACATACTGGAGAAATAACCCACCCATGCGTCTCCTCTTCTTACGTTGCCCTTTTGTTAGTGAAACGGGGTATCTCTACTGTTTTGTTTGTTTCTGGAGTGTATGCCTTCAGAAAACCTTTGGGTCTGAACTTATTCATGGACTCCATTCCCCATCCCCGCACAGCATGCACCACAAAAATCACGGGTCCACGGCTTCCTGGCCATTCCATGGCCCAAAAACAGGGTTCTGAAGCATGGATCCTCATGGATCCTCACGCTTTTTGCAGTGAGCCGCCCCAAACTCACCATCAAATCACATATCATAGCCAGGGGCACAGCCTGCACTACAAAAAACTCGGATCCACGGCTTCCTGATCATACCATGGCCCAAAAGCATGGTTTTGAAGCACAGATCCTCATGGATCCTCACGCTTTTTGCATTGAGCCACCCCAAACTCACCGTCAAATCACACATCATAGCCAGGGGCACAGCCAGCACCACAAAAAACTCAGATCCACGGCTTCCTGGCCATACCGTGGCCCAAAAATGTGGTTCTAAAGCACGGATCCTCATGGATCCTCAAGCTTTTTGCATTGGGCCAACCCAAAGTCACCATCAAATCACACATCATGACCAGGGGCACAGCCTGCACCACAAAAAACTCGGATCCATGGCTTCTGGGCAACTCCATGGCCCAAAAACGTGGTTTTGAAGCACGGATCCACATGGATCCTCATGCTTTTTGCATTGGGCCACTCCTATCTCACCATCAAATCACCTGGCAACTCCATGGCCCAAAAACGTGGTTCTGAAGCACAGATCTGTACGGATCCTCCCACTTTTTGCATTGCCCCCCCCCAACTCACCGTCAAATCATACATCATAGCCAAGGGCACAGCCTGCACCACAAAAACAAAAATGTCTTCATCGGCATCCAGTGTTGGTGCATAAGTGCTTATAATAGTAGCCTATTGGTTTTTTGTGAGCTTTATCCGAAGGGTTGAGAGTCACTCAATTCCAGTAGGAACTTCTGACAGGAGCTTCACAAGGTCGTTTTTCATAGCGAAGCCTACCCCATGTATTCAGTGTTCTTGTTCTGATAGACCTTTCCAGAATAATGTGAAGCCTCCTTTTTCTTCCTTCAGTTGTCCCTCGCCTGCTCTTCAAGAGTCTTAAAGCACTGCACTATCAATGTTAAAACGTCGCAGCTCTCTTGCCATGATGGCAGTTCTGCGTTTAGGACGTACGCTGTCTGTGTTATCTGACAAAGTCCATATATTCCATGTTCCAAAGTTCAACTGTATTTTATGACCCCTGGGTGGTGACCCCACTGGGCACGGTAATCCAGTCAGGGAAAAAGGGAGGCAGACTATGTTTAGGGCACCGTTTCAAGCCCCTCCCCCTTTTCAGGGCGAGCAGAGTGGATCCTAAAAAGGGCTGCTCAGTCACGGATACAGCTGCCGAGCTGCTCAACTGCCTCGTTCCTTGAGTCAGAATGACTGAATCTGTATCCACCGCCCATATGCTGGTTCATGACTAGGGGCTTCCAGATTTCACATTCCTGCCCCCGTAACCATTTGCTGATCGCCATGGCACTTTGGGGGATTGGGTTGGGTTTTTGGAAGACACCTGTGTGTGAATTTGTTTTATGTGTGTAGATCAGTGCACGCTGACCAACGCACAGTCTTCGCAGTAGGGCTCTGTTCTGATGGCATGAGTAGACACAACGAACTGGTGGATCCTATCTGCTACAGCCTTCATCCGCCTTCACAGCCATTGTAACACACCGCTTGTTATCATCCACCTGTTCTGCCTTTGAGGACTTCTTGGATCATTATTTGCCTAGCTCCTTCCCTGTTATGTACTAAGCTTGGATCCTAGAACAATAGGCAAGTAGGATACAGTGGTGCCCCGCAAGACGAATGCCTCGCAAAACGAAAAACTCGCTAGACGAAAGGGTTTTCCGTTTTTTGAGTCGTTCCGCAAGACGAATTTCCCTATGGGCTTGCTTCGCAAGACGAAATGTCTTGCGAGTTCTTGCGAGTTTGTTTCCTTTTTCTTAAAGCCGCTAAGCCGCTAATAGCCGCTAAGCCGCTAATAGCCGTGCTTCGCAAGATGAAAAAACCGCAAGACGAAGAGACTCGCGGAACGGATTAATTTCGTCTTGCAAGGCACCACTGTACTAGAATGCAACAACTGATTGGCTTGCAGGAAAAGACCAATCAGGCTCCAGGAGGGAAGCAGAATCAGCCAATCAGATGCGTAAATATTATTGTGTAAATAATGTATATAAAAGCCTGAGGTTTTGGGGAAAATTCAATCAATGTTTTACAAGCTGCAATACAGAGCATGAAATCACTACAGAACTCTGAGTAGATTTCATTTTCTTTGACCTTACCGCTGTGGGTGACCCTGCTGGGAGTACAAGATTCCCAACAGCTTCGCTCACAAGGGTCTTAGGAATGTGCAAGCCCACTCACCACGACAAGTGAGAGAACTGAGATAGCTTGCACTGAGCCCTGGTCTCATTAGACAAAGTGTTCCACCAAAAAGGCTCTCGCTCTGGTTGAGGACAGCTGGATATGTTTTGGGCCGGGGACCACCAGTAGGTTGCTGTTAGATGAGCGTCACACTCTTTGGGGGGTGTATTGGAAGATAATTCCCACAGATAAGAAAGGTCACAGACTGTTTAGGGCTTTAAAGGTTAGCACCAAAACCTTTAACCTGATTCGATACTCCACCTGCAGCCAATCATGCTGATGAACAACCAGCTGAATGTGGGCTCTCCACAAAGTCCAAGTAAGAACTCATGCATCTGCATTTTAGACCGTGTGGAGTTTTGGAGCAGTCTCAAGGGTAGCCCTGCGTATGTATCTATCTATCTATCTATCTATCTATCTATCATCTATCTATCATCTATCACATTTATACCCTCCCCTCCCCGGTTCAGGGGTAGAGCAAGTTAAAATAGTCTAGTCTGCAGGTGACTGCTGCATGGATCACCATGGCTAGGTTGGAAAGGGACAGGTACGGTACCAATCACCTAACCTGACATAGATTAAAAAATGCCAGTTTGGCTACATTTGTGACCAATGCCTCCATAGAGACAGAAGTGCCAAGGATCACACCGGGACTCCTGATGGCGGCTACAGGTGACTATTGTGCCCCATGAAGGGCTGGGAGCTGGCAAACAGAACCGAAATTATTCCGGCCCAGCCATTGGACCCCCATCTTTAATGGATTGAGATTCAGCTGACTCCGTTTCCTCCATCCCAGCACACCCACCTAAAAACTGACCAATATATCCAGGGTAGCATCTGGCCAGGGCCACGAAACAGTAGATCCATGATGCTTGTGGTCAGATCTGTGGTTATGTACAATATATTTGAATAAAGGGTAAATTTGGGGTTCCCCAATGCAAAAATAGTGACAATCCATGAGAATCCGTGCTTCAAAACTATGGTTTTGGGCCATGGAGTTGCCAGGAAGCCGTTTTTTTGTGGTGCAGGCTGTGCAGCTGGACATGATGTGTTATTTGACAGTGAGTTTGGGGTGGCTCAATGCAAAAAATGTGATGATCCATGAGGATCCGTGCTTCAGAACCACGTTTTGGGGCCATGGTATGGCCAGGAAGCCATGGATCCAAATTTTTTGTGGTGCACACTGTGCCCCTGGCTATGATGTGTGATTTGACGGTGATTTAGGGGTGGCTCAATGCAAAAAGCGTGAGGATCCATGAGGATCCGTGCTTCAAAACCACATTTTTGGGCCATGGTATGACCAGGAAGCCATGGATCTGAGTTTTAGGTGGTACAGGCCGTGCCCCTGGACACAATGTGCGAATTGACGGTGAGTTTGGGGTGGTGCAATGCAAAAAGCGTGAGGATCCATGAGGATCCGTGTTCAAAACCACGTTTTCGGGCCACGGTGTCACTAGAAAGCCTTGGATCTGTGATTTTTTTGGTGCAGACTGTGTCCATGGCCATGATGTTTAATCTGATGGTGATTTTGGTGGAAAAATCATGAGGATCCATGAGGATCCGTGTTTTTAACCATATTTCTGTGCCACTGCGGCCCCACGAAACAGTGGATGCGTGATTTTTTTGATGCTGCCTATAGAGTAAGACATGGTCTACAGTATCAAGGTGGTTTTATTTAATTTGAATGAAAAAATTATATGAATTCATGAGGATCCGTTTAAAATCAGCTGGATCCGCCTTTTACCCTTTTCCCTCTAGGGGGATTGCTTGTTCTATGTGTGATTTCTACAGCTATAGAAGGCACCAGCAAGATGCAAGTGAGATGGTAATGTTTATGAGTATAGGATTGCAGAGAAGGTGGTTTAAAAAAAAACCAACAACACTCATACTGTATTAAGAATGTGTCAAAAGTGCTGTGCACACATAAATTGACAGGAAATAGGGCTGCCAGACATCCAGAATTTCCTGACATGTGGGATAATGCAGGCGGCAGCAGTGCCCAGTCCGAAATCGGGAAATGTCTGAGAAAATCCGGATGCATTGTAGCCCATGTCAGCCGTGCTGTTTTTGCAATTTTTCCAAAATGGGCTTTTTTATTTCCCCAAAAAGTTCAACAACTTTGGGCAAAACTAAAAAAAAAAAAAGCTTTCCCCGGATTTTCACTGTTTGAAATATGGCAACCCTACAGGAAAATGAAGCAGATAGAAAAAAAAGCAAAAAAAAGTAAAAGAAATTGTTTAAAAATTAAAATTACAATATGTGGCGGATATTGCAGTATGTGATTTAGGAATATGAGTTCCAAGGAAAGGCAGGGAAGTCTTTCTTGGAACTAAGGGGGGTGCTGTCAGAGAAAAAGTACAGAAATTTTAAAATTGAAGTATGTGTGAGAAGGGCTAAACAAGTGAATGTTGTGTTTGCAAGAGAACCACAACAGAAGGACAGCAACAGGAGCTGTTGCTATAACTTTTGAGTACAAAGGATGGAGGGAAAGATAAGAAAGTTGCTATGTGATTAAACCAGTAGAAGC